GGGGGTGTTCCTGGGGGGAGGCGCACACAGGGCAGCAGCAGGGCCCCTTGCCTTCTCGCGCTGCTCTGCCTCTCCTTCCTAGGGCTCCTCCCTACGGTCTTGCCGCTCTCGCTGCTCCAGTTCCTTTAGCCTCAGCTGGATCCCCAGCCGCTGCAGCGCTGCTGGGCCGGCCCCCGCCCTGGCCAAACCGCTGCCGGCGGGCACTGCGTCTGCCTGGCGGACTCCAGCCCTCCCTCCGGTCTGAGCCTGGCTCACCTGGCAGGTGTCTGGCTGCTGCCCGCTGGGACAGGATCCCAGTCCCCGGGCTGGTCGTTGTCAATCTGCTGGGCCGTGGTTGCTTTCCCCATGGGCAGGCCCCTCTCTCTGCACAGCCCCGCAAGGTCTGGCACAGGCCATCTCCCCGCCGATCCCCAGGGCGCAGACTCACCGCCCGAGGGCTGCAGCGCCCCAGGAATCGCCTCACTCTGCCTCCAGCATGCCTGGCTCCGCAGGCCCCTTCCTTCTACTGCGCCTCACGCTTTGCTGCTGGAAGCTCCTCCCAGAGGGGGCCGTGCATCCCACTCCTGCCACCACTGTGCGGCACGTCAGGGAGCTCCCCGATCCTGCCCCCTAGCAGCCAGACGGGATTCCACCAGCCCGTGGAACAGAGGGGTCACCGCGTCTCCGGGATATCCCAGCTGTGCTGGGCTGTGTGGACATGAGGAGTCGGGCTGGCAGCTCTAGGCCCCCGGCGGCAGCGCGTACAGCCCCCCTGAGCACCCAGCACTCTGCTGAGTCTCCTCTCCAAGCCATCCCAGCCCAAAACTGCCCAGCTCCCAGGCCCTGCGCCCCAGCCGGGTGGCTGTCTCTGCCCCCCTCCCTTTCTCTCCCCACCCCAGGAAGAGGCTTGTCATCTGCTCAGGCTGGGACTGGTGTCCGGGCCAATCCGCATGAGGGCGAGTCCCTGGGAATCTCACAGCCCAGCGCTGGGGACCCCGGGTTAGAGGAGACCCTCCCCCCCCACACTCTACAGCACAAGCATGCAGGGTCGGGGAGCGCATACCTGATGGGAGGGGCACACGGGCAGCAACACAGCTAGAGCCACCAGGAAGAGGGCCTGGGCCTGCTGCGCTCCCTGCAGCCTCAGCCCGTGCGCCAGCGCAAGCAGCCGCCTGGCTCAGGGCCCAGGAGGTTCCCCCAGTCCCACCAGCTGCCCGGCCGGGGAGGGCTCGCCCAGGCAGCAGGGCACACAGAGCAGCACTGACCGTGCCCACAGAGCGCCAGGGACCTTGGCTGCACAGAAGGCGCCAGGGGGCACCGGCCGGCCCTGCAGGAGGCGAGAAACCAGCCAAGTGCTTCAGGCAGATATTTATTGTCAGTAGGAGGGGAGCCACGACAGCAAATCAGGCTGCAGAGAGGGACGGAGCAGCCGGCCCCTAGGAGCAGCCCGGCTCTCGCCTTGCTGCAGCCTCCCGGGGCCAGCCCACGGCGCCTGGGGGCGCAGGCCAAGCCCTGGCCGGACAGGAGGGGGCAGCCAGCAGGCGGCTTTGGGCCAGGAAGCTCCCGCCCCGCGGCCCCTGGCTGGCTGTGCTCCCCCCTCGCAGCTGGGAGCATGACAGGACCCTTCCCCCCACCCCACTGGTGTGGGGACAGTGCAATGCCAGCAATTCCACCAGGGGTGGGGGGAACATCCCCAAGGGCGCGGCCCCTGCTGGCTGTGCTCCCCCCTCGCAGCTGGGAGCATGACAGGACCCTTCCCCCCACCCCACTGGTGTGGGGAAAGTGCAATGCCAGCAATTCCACCAGGGGTGGGGGGAACATCCCCAAGGGAACCTGACTCCAGGGACCAACCGCTCGGTGCCCAGGCTGCAGCGACAAGAGCAGGATGCGCTGTGGACAAGTGCGTGGAGCCCAGCATGGGCCA